TAGATCCTTTTATACATGAAATATTACAAAAGTTAAAGGTAAGTATGGCTTGTTGTGATTTGTAAGTTACCCACAAAAATGTTGCAAAAATTTAAACATCTACTTAACTGTGATAAGACTGAAAATTGGGTATTTTTAAGAAAAAATGTAATATTTGAAGTAATCTCATTGAAACTCTCAGAATTTATCGTGTTATGTGTTCATTTATTAATCTTATTCCTGCTGTGTGAGTGTGTATGAAAATAATGAAATAGGTCATACAAACTCGTCATGTAAAGAAGGTAGGTAAATACTTAATTTAAATGGTACAAAAGGAAAATTTCTCTTGATTAATCCGCAAATCAATGCTCATATGGACAATTCTCACAAACTTCGACTTTTCGTGTTACTCTGTATATTCTACGCTGATTCATTATTTTTGTTCATATAACAAAGATAAATTGGGTTGCAGATGTTCAAATAATATAAAAACCGATGCACTGTTTCTCACATTTTCCAAGCCAAAAGAACGGAAAATACTTTTACAAAATAAGCAAATTTGTCAAAAAATGTATCTCTCTCATATTTTTATTGTTTTTGTTCTATATAACTTCGTGCGTTGATTGAAAATTTTTCAATGAGTAACGATTTTCAAGTATTTGGCGAAACAAGAATATGTGCTCTCAATAATAAAAAAGTTATGAAGCCTCAAAGTGGTGTAAGTCCATTTTTAAAATTTTAATATTTATAACTATTATACCATGTAACTATTCGTGCGTATAAAAAATTGATATGAAACTAAATGCATAGTGTTCTAGGGTCCAAAGAAACAAATCTAATCGTGGTAGAAATATGTGCTATCTTAATAAGATAGTCAAAATACAATGTTTGCTGCAATAGGAAAAACGTGCAAAGAAGTAAAAACGCACATTTTTCATTAGCACATCGTCATTATTTTGAAAATTCGACTACAAATAGTTGTGCTCTTGTTTGATGTATGATCGAACCGAGGTTCACTTGCTTAAACTAATATTTAGAAAGTTACAGAGTAATATAAAAAAATCAAAAATTCCAGAATAGACATTGTCATACATTACTCGTCTATTTCAGATTTAATTACATTTTCAACAAATTCATATACAAAAAGTATTCGAAATTTAGTGCAATGTATTTAAATGGGTATTACACACTCAAAACATGGATTTCTACAAAATCACGTACGATAAAAGCTAAAATTTACGTTTGTTGTATTTTTGTATAGTTTGTGTTATTCACGAAATAACAATTAATTGTTTATATTATAAATTACACTAAGCTTAACGTTGTTACGTTTGCAAAATTATATTGTGCATGAGAGCATAGTTCTGGAATAAAAACGAATTATGAAAAAAGTTATACAACACAAATAACACAAGTCATGAAAAAATAAAAGAAACGTGAAAAAACGTTAATAACGTTTGGTGCATTTCTTTAAAACGTTACACCATGCCAGAATCTGTATTTTAACAGCTAAAGGAACGTATTCTCAAGGTTTCAGACATGTGTTCATGATTTGAAAAATAATTTTGTTTTATAAAAAAATGTCGAAGTTTGCGAAAATTTCCCATATGTATTAAAATCTACTGCATCTGCATGATGATGATTATGTTGTAATTTTATGTATCAGAAGATAGTTTATATTTGACGAATATTTTGTATAAAAGTGTAGTTTTGAAACCCGTATTAAGGATGAAAATCAAGACAGTATGCTCATAGTAACTGCCTTCAGATTTATAATTAGATTTGGAAAAATTCATTTACCATCATGTATAATTAATTAATTAATCTATTATTAATCTTTACTAACTTATAGTTATAATTGAACTTAAAAATCCTACAATAAATTTTATTTCTTAGGTGAAAAACAGTAATAAAATGTATGTTCGACAGGTGTTCGAGCACCCATAATATCTACGCGAGACATGCGCAAAAGCACACGTGGCTGGGTTGCAGTATAAAAGTGTTAACAGTAGCACAAGCATGTGCAACATGACTTGCAAAGCTTGCGAGTTTCGGCGATAAATAGAGCCACCTCTTCGGGACTTTTGAAAGTTTCGCACGATACACGACACTCAGGACACAGCGCTATAGTATCGATCGTCTTTTGCTCAGGCTCCTACGTTACCGACGATCTAAAGATAACGTGTCAAAACGAAAACTCGAAATAATTTTCGCCGATTGGAAAAAAATAGAGAAACAATTTCGGCGCGTCGAAAAAAAAAACAACGAATGTCGAAAACTCGCCAGGCAACCGCTCATGATCATTATAATCATCGCTATTTAAAAAATACCTGCAATTGCCGAATAGAACGGAGGATTTGCAAGAAAAGAAATTCCTAAATATATCAGATATATCTTATTCTTTTCTAAAAAATAAAGATAATAAAACTAATTTGTTTTCGACTACTGCCAGCCTAAAACGCTTTTTACCCTTAGCTACGGCAATTAAAAGCTTTGCACCAATCGTCCGCAACACCATCCAAATTTTCAATAAATCCATAAAACCTTCATATTACGTGTAAATAATTTGTAAACTACTATTTTTTTCTATGTAATATGCATTTTTAAGCACTGTACAAATGCGCATGCCCAGAATCTTGTGTAATGCCATGCCGGCGCGGCGCGACTATTTAAAATCACTTCAAAATAATTATATATATTTGTGCAAAGTAGCTATCATAAAGAATAGCGCCCACATAAGTACAGGTCCCCGGGTAAAAAATAGGAGAACGTAAAAATTTTTTATTATCGAAGGGTAATTGTTGATTTGAAGCCTACGGATTTTCATCCATGTGCGTGTTGAGACATCTATCCATGCCTAAGTACTGATGTTTATAAACAAGCTCAATTTTCAAATAGTCATGTCAACATGTCACTACACAAGCATGCTTCTGTGCGTGCGCAATTTGCAACATGCATAATCCATAGAACAGGTAATATTTTACAGATTCTTTACACACATTTCAAAGATTTTGTTGATATATTCACAACCTAGAAAAGTTTTGCAAACGATTGGCGTAAGGCTTTGAACTGTCAAAGCAATGAAATACGAACGAAATTTACGTATTTAGCTGAATCAGTCAGTACAAATCGACTATTTGTACAAAAACGTTTGATAAGTTACAAATTTGGAAATTGATTTTGCAAACATTTACGATAATTTTCGTAATATTTGCCCAACGCCCATGCCGTTAGGCTCTCTGCCCCCCTGCTGAGTATAGAGAAAATCCAAATTTATTGGGTACGTAAATCAGGAATTAATCGAGCAGAATTATTTAATGATCGTTGGATTTTATTATCAAATCGTATAATCTATAAAACATAATTATACCTTTGCGGGATATTGAAAAAAAAATCTAATATAGCACTTATTTTAATAGGTAATTTTACCCATAATAATTGTAACTGGCCGTAGTATGTGATTGTACTAACTACTCCAGCAAATTGTGTCAATGGTGAAATTTGCAAAATTTAGACAAACACTAAACAAAATTACATAATTTTAGTAACCCGACTTCATCTATAACAAGAGAACATGCTACTACGAATACCGGTCGATCAAATTTGAATGTATTTAAGTTATTTCTTCAATAAACCTTTTTTAACATAATGTAACAACCCAACAGCTGCGAAGAGTAGTGATCAAAGATGGCAATGAGTCTTATGAGAAACGGTAAAATAAAGTGTGTTAAAAAACAATTGTTAGTTTTAATAATTTTACGATAAATAAAAAGTTTATTTATTATAAAAATATAAGAAGAATTAGTAATAGTAGGTTTGATACAATAATCAATAAAAAAATCATTACTGTAATGTGAAAATGAAGTGAAGTCTTGAGATATGAACATAAAACTATGGCTCTAAGTAAGGAAGGTATTTATGCACATACATTCATTAATAACAAAAATTTTTCTTGAAAAATAATTATTATAAAATAAGCAGATTTACGCATCGGCAAAACTTTTAGTTTCAGCAAACTTGAAAAACTATTTCACGTCATTACTAAGTGAGGCAATGAACATATATGTTAACAAAAACAGTCTAATTAATAATTATACGTTTGTTGAGCATAATTTTAGACTTTGATGTACAGCCAAAACAACAATTAACCATTGTATAAGCTTATAGATAACTTATAAAATTACTATATACAGTTTCTGAATTAACGGTCTATTTTTATATAATCAATTCAAACCATAATAAATATTTTTCCAACAAATTGTTTGAATTAATGTCTCGTATAAAAAAACTAATCTACATTTACAATGGATTAATGACTTTTTATTCATTATTATATTGAACCTACTATTATTTATTCTTGTTATAGTTTTATAATAAATAAACCTTTTATTTGTCACAAAATTATTGAAATTAATATCGAAATTCCTTTTAACAGATTTTATTGTACCGGTTCCCATAAGACTCAATGCAAACTTTGACCACCACTCTTCTTCCCAGTTGTTGCGCTGTGAAAAAGGTCTATTGAAGCGTCAAGCACATCGGGTAGTTGGCAAATTAATTTCGGGAAACTGCGACGTTGAACAATGAAATTAGTTGACTTGGCGCGAACACTCGCAATAATGATATAGCGCGTTGAATTATTCATAAGTACGTCGAAGCAAACCGAAACAATGCCGAAATATTAAAAGGATCGGGCTCTCTGTAAGGACGCTAAGGGTCGTTACAGGTACTCCGATAACGGATGCTTCCAAAATGGTTTTGAAAAAGCAAGCCGAAGGATGATTGAGAAACGTCGTCTGCTCGATCGCATCGGCAAATCGGCGACTGGCTTATAGCGAGTGAAGTTGGCTCGGCTGCCTCCCCGCCACTCTATCGCGGCATGGCAAGCGGGGGGGGGGGGGGGTCGTCCGCGGGAGCGTGGTGGCACGGGCAGTGGGCACGTGGGCCGCGCGGCCGGAAAGGAAAAACAAGTGTGCGCTGCTGGTCGGTTGCGTGGAGCGGTCGTCTGGCGGGTTTCTGGCGCTCGGCTCGCCGCCGCGCGCTGCTCGGGGCATGCATACACGCACGCGGGCGCGCGCGCGCGCGCGCGCACACACACACATAAGAGGCGCGCGGAGCCGCGGTCGCGCAGCAGTGTCGCGTAGTGCGGCCAGCTAGTGTGCAGGCAGTGCTCGGTCGGTTCGCCCACTCAGCCAGGCAGCATCTCTCGCGGCAGCGCGCGTGTGAGTGCGCGTGCACGACGACAGCGAGCAGCAGCGACTCGGGCCCCCTCCCCTCGCCGCCGACGCGCACACGCACCCGTCCGCCAGTGCAGCAGCTCGCGCCGAAGTGCGGATGGACGGGCCCGAGTGCCGGCTGATCAGCGACGCCTGCGTGTCTATGCGCGTGTGCTTCGACTCGTTGTGCTTCTCGTCGCCGCAGCAGCGGCTCGCCGACGAGGACGAGGAGCAGCAGCAGCAGCAGCAGCAGCAGCAGCAGCAGCACGCCCAGGCCATGCAGCAGCAACTGGTGATGGCTCAGCAGCAGCAGCAGCAGCAGCAACAGCAGCAGCAAGGCGGGGTTGCCGAGCTGCAGGAGCTGCTGCGGCTCAGGGACGAGCGCATCGCCGAGCTGGATGCCCAGCTGCGTCAGCGCGACGCCGAGATCGTAGAGCTGCGCAGCCACCTCGACAAGTTTCTGAGCGTGCTGCCCTTCAAGTCGCCCCTCGCGCCCACGAAGCTGCGCCCGAGGAAGCATCGCGCGCAGGGCATCTCGGCCGAGCCGCCCAGGCAGGAGCTCGCCCCGCTCGTGCAGGTCGACAAGAGCGACAGGTACGACTGGCGTCTGTCCGCGCGACCACGTGCGCCGCTCCTCGCGGCTGCCCGACCGTTTCTCGGTGAACGCGCGCGCGCAGTGCCGCCTTGGAGCAATCGCGCGGATATGATGCGCAAATCGGAGCCGCTCTATTGCCATTATCAATGCTCACGCCTGACCGACTTTCATTGATGAATGGCTCGAATTTCGACGTCTGCTCGGCAGCGCTACGAGCTCCGCAGCTTGCTCAGCTTTCGCACCCTGCGCGTCGCGCCTCGTCACGCGATCGCTCCGCGGCCACCGACGACGATCTCTTTTCGGTGGCTTTTAATCGCTACTCAATTGCACGCGACAAGCGCGATAAGAATCGACGAATTTCGCGAGCATCTGCTGCTGCGGCTTTGTTATCTTGTCATCCCAAATTGCGCGTCATTGGGCGCAAGGGTCGAACAAGAGTGGCGCAGACGCGCGCGCGCGCCGACACAAGTCTCCCGTGGCCGGAAGCAGCTTCAGCGAACTCGTCGACGCCGCCGACGCCGCCGACGCCGTCAGTAGACTTTTCTCTCGTTCTCGACGGACAGTCGCTCCGCGGTATTCCGCAAGCGGCTGCAATTTCGTCGATAAAGACTCGTTTCGGCGCACCGAGGGGAGGAGCGGGAGCGCGCGAGATCGGCCGGAGGGACAGCGTGTCATTATTTTTGATAAATCATTCTCGCTTTTGTTCGCCGCTTCCAAGATCTCAATCACGCCGTAATTGCGCTTAATTTTCCACGTTCGCGGTGCGAATCAATTTCCCCGGCGACATTTGCGAGCTCCGAAGGAGAAGCGTCTATTTTTAGCCGCATCGCCAACTATTTGAATAATAGAAATTCAAGATAAGTAAACTTCACAAGGAGCTCTCGCGGCGTTTATCTATCTTGTTTGTCGATCGTAATTGCGATGCGTTCGCAAAAAAGCTCCGTTTTTCGCGATACACCGAGCCTTTTTCGCGCCAAACTCGGTGCAAAAGTGAATGCACATTGAACAAACTAACAATGTTGGGGTGACGTTGCGCAATCGATCAAATCTTCTTATCGATCCTCTTGTTCTAATTAGATTAAAATATCGATCACCTAACGGGACCTGTCGCGTTCGAGTGCAGCCATACCAATACAGACCATCAAAGGCAAACTGCTACGAAATTATTGGCGGAAAGATGCGACGGAAAACGTGGGGGTGAAATGGTTCGCCGTGATTTTGTCAAATGTGTCGAACGGGCAAACGTTTACCGTTCGCATTTACGCCGTCATTGTGCGCGAGCTTATCTGATGAGCGCTGCAATCGACACTTCTTCCATTGCAGCCGTCGTGCATGCGAGTAACTAAGAAACGTGAGTGCCGATCTTCCGGAGCTTCGCACACTCAGCGACAGCATTAAAGTCATATTAGTCATAAATCCAAGCTGGCTTTGGCAGATCATCTTGGCACATTATCAGCTCGGAGAAGGTACTTCTGCCAACATGCTTACGGACTGCAAATAATATCTCGCGGCTCTTTAATTAGCAGCGTCGCGTTACTTCCAACTATTTCACCGTTTGCTGTATTTATTTGTTTTTTGTCTTTTCATTGCATTCTACATTGTAAAATAAACACGCATAAAGTCATCTATAGATGACGAAATTTGTGTGTGACCAATAACCTTGTTGCTCGGTATAATGTCAATTCGTACATCTTACGTTTGAGATTGGCATGTGCACGAGTTTTCAATCGTAAAAGAATTAATTATTTTCTTCTTTTCGGTTGATTGAATCATTGAAAAAGAGTTGGAGTTGAAAAATGGATATCAAAATGAATGTCAATTTTTCGAGGTTGTCTCTTTGAACAATATAACATTACACGAGACATCGTGCTATTGCCGCTGATTCTTAGACCAAAATTTCTATTTTCCAGTATAATAGAAGAACCGTCGTGAAATTTTGTTCTATTTTTAGATTCCACGGTCAAAGATAATTTATGCTATCGCTGTCTGCTCTAAGTAAATCTTTCTTTGAGTTTCTGTCTTCTGAACTTTTGACCGCTGAATAGTTCGTTAGTCGTAGATGGATTTCATTTCACTCATTCGTAGTAATTTTTTGTCAATCGACTAGTCAACTTTCTATTTTACACTACGTTAATATTCAGATTAACAAGAATTACAGCGATCCTTCAAACAAATTACAATTATTTAAAAACCGAGTTATTTTTTTTTTTTTTTCATTCGAGAGTATTCAAGCGAAAGACTTTTTCACACCGCGATATCTGACTAAAACTGCTACGTATAACTTTGGCCTGCTTGTATTTGCAATATTTGTGCTCACAGTGGCACTTTATAACATACGTACCACAAAACTTCAGAAATACCAAACTTATGAACATCGATAATTTTTCATTGGATTATTGTCTAATTTTTTTAAATTTTGCGCATGATAAAGTCGTAGACTGGACCTATAGTAACGTTTAACAACGTTTTTCTGCTCGATAAAGACGCTCTGCATCTGACACTGTCGAATTGAAAAAAAAGAAAAGAAAAATTTGCTGTTAAAGAATGGCATGTGGAGTCTTATTTGCAATGTATCGCTGAAAGAAAGCGTGACAAAAGTTTCGAATTTTGAACACTGATGAATCAGCATTCGCGAGTACGTCGCTTATCTTCTTAAAATTGGATCACATACCGAGCCCTGCCAACAGTTGTTATTAATCGTGAGATACCGCGCGCTCAAACGATTTCTACCCGCACAGTATTTGCTCAACTTATTGGTAATATTTATACAGGCGAGCACTGACTCGTGGTAATAATCTAATGGTAATAATTAGCAAATAAAAACAGGCGTTCGCGTATAGCCCCGTTCGCCGACCATGTGCGTATGTTTTTGCGAGAGGAGGAGAAACGAAAATTGTTCTTTCTTCGACACGCGCGAACAGTTATGTACTAACGAGTTCGACAAAGATTATCCGTGAAGCAGCTAGGCAAAGAATACGCACTTCCAATAATTGTCGCTCGTGCTAATTACGTAATTGACTGATCTAAATTACGGCGGGTTCGCTTGTCGCAGAGCTGCGCGGAGATGCCACCGATGCAGTATTTTTGGCGAACAAAGAGCGGAAAAATAAAAGTGCTATTTCGAAAATACCTATGCTGATTCGCTTGTCTACGAGCGAGAACATTGTCCGGAATTGTAAGCTCGATGGTAATATTATTGAGAAAAATGGCCTTGGTCAATTGACGTGTGCCTCGCGCGCACGCGTCGTCAGAGGGCAAGCAAGCGTTAGAATAGGCGTTTGCACGAAATAAGACGGCGGCGACCCCGCGCGACGTATCAAATCCGTTAAACCTTGTTACGGCGGCGTGAGCGCTGGTGTTTCGGCGCCTCTCGGATCGCGCTGACGGTAGAATATCTAAGCCTCGGGATTCTATAGCCCCGTCAATTTCAAACAGCGCAACGAGGCGAACGCCGCAGCCAAGCACCTTTCATGCGATTTATCACTGCCAATTGACCCACTCAAGAGAGAGAAAGAGAGAGAGGAAAAAACTTTGATATCAAGAATAAAAATACATATCGAGGAGGAAAAAAATACTTTTGGAAGTCGACTCCGCGCACGAAAATAAACGTAAACACGATATAAAGAACCGTCAGTTGCATGCGCGAAGGCGCGGAACGCAAACAAATAAGAAACAATGAACTAAGCGCAGATCGGCATTTTAATTTGCAATCGGCAGAGAGAGAGAGAGAGAGAGAGAGAGAGAGAGAGAGAGAGAGGGAGAGAGAAAAAGTTTGCACGCGTGCGAAACGTATTCTATTATAGGAATAAACCGGTTTTCGTCGACGAGAATCGGCCGCTTGGTTTTTGTGAGCGGACAGTGTGTTTGTTTATGACGTTATCGCTGCTGCGCGGCAGCAACAGAAGCGGTGGCATGCACTTCCCGGCGGTGGCGTCGCGTGTAAATTCAGCTATTTCTGGCCGCGACCCTAAAGTCCGACGCGACGTCCGTTTTACTGCGAGTCATCGCCTCGCGCCGAAAACGAGAACGCGAACAATACTCGCAGCGATCTTTCGCGCCGATTTTCACGCCTCTTCCATCGGCGACTCGCGCTCCATTCCATTTTCCGTACTCGAACGCGTGCGCGCTTCTCTTCTTTTTTTATTTTCTTTTCTTTTATTCTCGCTAGCGCCAATTACATCACCCGATGCAGTTCGCAACCGATGAATCAAACGCTTATCGTAATTTTTTTTTCTCCTTTCAACTTTTAAAATCGTCGCTTGAAAGTCATTGCAAATTTGTCATCCTTTCTCTCTTTCTACGCGTGCTGCTTACAATTTTTTCATTCAACTCGCATTCAGATGGAGATTAAAATCAAGCATTTGTAATTTGCCAAATGCACATGTCTGAAATGCCGCGGCTATTGTACTGTAACAAAAGAAGCGTCTCGATCGAACGTTTTTATTTTCGGATTGTTAATTCAATAGCAGTTCCGCTAGGGTATAATCGTAGCGTTCGACTCGCTGGCAAATCGAATAATTTTTTCTTCTTGTTACCGTAAAAAACACCTGAAATTGGTTCATCGCAATGCGACGTATAGATCTATTCGCAAGCATGCATCGCCGATCGTTTTGTATATTTCCAGCTATGCTTTGTAATTTTTTTTGTCCGGAATCGCATTGCTCAATCTCGTCATTTTGAAATCTTTCCACGTACTTATGAGCTGATTGTAAAAATAAACTCATTGAATTTATGCGCTTTCCCACTTGTTGCTGCGAGTTAATTTTAGCTCTCGCGAGGTATGAAAACATTAAAACGCCGCGGCGAGCCTTTTTTATTTTTTGCAGAAACGCAGCGTAAGCAGACGACTATGATCAATTTCGTTCAATAACGCTAATTTGCGCGCCTTCGCCGCTCAGTGAAACATTCGAATGGTTTTTCACGCGCTGCAACGAACGCTCGTGAAATATTGTTATCAAGCGATCAAAAGACCTTGTCGATCGGTCATTAGCGACAGATA